ACTGTATACTGAGCAGTTGTGCTTAGCGATAAAACTAAGGAACCCCACCTCCTTACAAGGGCAGAGACCACCCTGCACCCCTTCCTCCCAAGATAAGGACCTCCGATTCTCAGGATCTTAGAGCTGTCCACAAAGGATAAAGGATACCCCTGGACAACTGACATGACAACATCAGTATCCTAGCCCCTCTAACACCTCTGTGTGACCCTCCTGTTGTCTGGTCTCGTAGCTACATAACTATAGCAAGACTGATTTCGGGATTGTCTAGATCAGCAGGGAAGCAGGTGGATAATGATGCCATAGAAATATAGCGGATTTGCAAGTGGTAGTGTGTGTTGAGTACTGATTACTCAAATCACATTGTACCTGAACACTGTAAAGGCACAAGAACCACGTGTAGCACCTCATTTAGTGTGTTCCAGTTTGAATGGGGCACCTTATGTGCTTGGATAAAAAGAATTAGTCCTGCAGTCCTATACTGTGCATGCTGGCCTCTCTCCTCTGTCAATGTGGGCCAGTTGCAACAAGCCCTTGGATAAATGGGCAGATGCAAAATTTCTCTGTTTAGTTAAAGTGACCAAGTGCTTGCAGAGGTGGCTGCTTAAGTGAGAAACATGCAGCACCTTCTCCCTGAACGTGCAAGAACAGGAGGGTGACTGTTTCTGGTACTGATGGCTTGGTTGTGCTGTCCTTCTTCGCTTCTTGGGTGGCTGTGGATCTGAGGAGCAGTGGGAATGTAATACGTGTCCTCAGAGATGCTTCTTAGAAAATCTTATTGTCTAGTTGACAGAAGGGTACACCAAAAATGTTTGTCCCCATCCTTTGCGTGTCTGAGCCTGCAAACTCTAGGAATATATAGAATCATGTTAGGGTAAGAATGCTATTTTTGAACATGCTCATCCTTTGTGTGTCTGAGCCCTGCAAGCCTGCAAACTCTAGGAATATATAGAATCATGTTAGGGTAAGAATGCTATTTTTGAACATGCTGCTAAAAAACGTAGCATTATTTGCTGAGCAGATACTAAGAGATGAGCAAGGACTAGACTGCTGTGTGTGTTTAAACCACACAGCAGAGGCTTAATATATGAAAATTATTAATAGGTGTCACCATGGTACCCAGTGATTCAAGTTCCCTGTAGATGGCAAATGTTTTCCTCTTAACTTTATAGAGTAACAGTTCTGCCTAGAACATTTCAGTTGTGTGTTCTGTTAATTAAATGAGGTGCTAGCCTATTTACAATTTGCTCCTGCCCAAATGTCACCTGTGCTGTGGTGTGGTTCTGTGAATGGGTTCTATGTTCTGACTTTTCACTAGGCAGTTTGCTGGAATATGTAACATTTAGCCCATCGTTCAATTTGAGGATACAAACACCACAATCCTTAGGTGAGATGCACTGAAGGATTTGGCCAGGGAAGTCCTGGAGTGGAATCTTTGCCTCTGAATTAGACACATTCCCTACCCAAGTAGTTAAATAGAAGCAGGAATTTAGATGCTGCCTACACATGGATAGGTGGTTGTCAGGCTGCTCAAAACTTGAAATATTTGAAGAATTTAGAGTCTTTCAAAATTTGGTGTTTTGGGGTTGCCACCTTTAAATTCAGCTGCTGAAATTGTGCTCTGCTTCCTGTTTCAGAGGATCTGCTACTGACTCTCCTAGATTCGCACCCAAATTCTTTATTGGGATGCGGCCTGGAATCCACATCTTCCAGTAACTGCATCAGTTACTCTGAAGTGTTTGATCTAAAGTAATTTGCTTCAGTTGTACATGGAAAAGAAAGTTCATTTGTATTTGCATATTATCTGTTTATCAACAAATTAATTAATTTACAAATCTGTTTAGCTTGCTTTGCTTTTTGAGTACATGTTCTCATATATGAAGTGTTGACTTTATATTGACTTTGAGTCTTTCTTCTCTGCCTCCCTCCACCCTTCTCATCTAAGGCTTGGTAGTCAACTGGTCAGGTCAAGGATTGCAAAAACTGGGTCCAACCTTACCCTGTGATGCTGATACTCACACTCTGATTCTGGACAAAAACCAGATAATTAAATTGGAACACTTGGAGAAATGCAGGAACCTGATGCAGGTCAGTGTTACTTGGCTTGAATTGGCTATGTAATGGTAGTACTGTGATGCTAATTAAAATGCATCTGCTTTAAGGCAGCATTATGTAATTGAAGTAAGCTGGCGGTTACTGCCTTCAAAGAAAAACAGAGCTAGCTAAAATAGAAAGCTTTGTTTTCATTGTAGCTCTGCAGTTGATAGCGGGGGAGGCTGTTTTGCTTGTTACCTAGGTAACTAAAAATGAACTAAAGAAATCCTAATGGGGGGATGTGTCATATGACTTAGACAAGTTACTGATAACCCAAATTTTGATACTTGTTAGCTTTTGGGTAGTTGAGCTTCGTAACCTTAAAAATGACTTGTCTCTGTGTAACTGTAAACACGCAGACATACATACAGGACTCCTCTCCCCGTTTGGGTTTCACAACCCTTTGCAAAGGCAGAGGATTATTAGCCTTAATTTATGAGAAGGAAAAAAAGCCATGTGGATTAGGTTAAAATAGAAATGGCAAATAAAATAATGTGATGTGGGAGGGATCTGTGTGGTCTTGTTACTGTATTGATTCATGTAAGCCCTGATGTTGTTGCTGGGGCTTATCCTCAGTTTTAACAGTGGCAACAGCCCACTCAAGGTCGTGAGGGTATTACTGATAAGAGTTAAGTGTGTGCATGGTGCTTGCAACAGTCAAGAGTATTAATCCCTCAAGTGCAAAACGATACAGGGCCATGTTTAATTATCACTGGAAGTTTCTCCAGATAGACTTGAAGTCACCTAACAGCTTCTAGAGACAAACTAAACGGAGGCAGGAGATGTGGGGTTCGTTGCTACAACAAACCTTCACCAGCCTCTGCAAGCTTGGTGGTCATGTCATTAATGGGTGTGTTTAATCAGGATTTATCGTTTAAAAGGCTTGTGATTTACAGTCCTGTTAGCACAGGACTTTCTGGTGAATCATGTGAAATATATTGTCCTCTGCACGTTGACAGTAAGTATATTTACACCAGGAATGGTGCAACAATTTGCACAATGATTTCACAGTTCTGGTTTTAAAATCTTGTTTCATATGACACAATTCCCCATTCATTCTCCTTTTTTTTAGCTACTGCTAGGAGGAAGATTTCCTCTTAAGTCTGCAGGGTGAGAAAGACACTGCTTTCTTTGATCAGTCATTTATTTCCTGGCTCTTGTACTTTGTTGTGTCTTTGTTATTTGCTTGAAAATGGGATCTGTAGATAGAGGAAGTTCTTGTTGGATTAGATTTTTAACCAGTAAAAGTACAAACCTATTCTGTCTGTGCAGTGTACTTGTTAAAAGTGTTTCTTATTTGTGTGTCGATCTGCAGCTCTCCGTAGCCAACAATCGCTTGGTGCGAATGATGGGTGTAGCAAAACTGACTATGCTCCGGGTGCTGAACTTGCCTCATAACAGTATTGGGTATGTGGAAGGGCTGAAGGATTTGGTGCATCTGGAGTGGCTGAATTTGGCAGGGAATAACCTTAAGGTAAAGTATTTAGTCTTTATACACTCTTCAGAATTTAGTGTTGTAGACATTTGGGAACTGCTGTAAAGAAATCTGAATAGTTTCTGGGTTTGATTGGAATGAATGTGGAAGTCTTGCTTCTATTGGTTTATGACGTAAAGAGAGCAACCTTCCCAGACAGTTCTTGTCCAAAAAAAAACCAAACCCACACCCCAAAAAACCCGAACACCAACATTTTGATACCCAAGAGAGTTGGGAAATAGTTGCCAAAGTAGGAAAAGAATTATGAAATGAAATGAAACTGTGTTTAAAAAAAAAAAAAAAACCAAAAACCAAGAAAAGGTTTTCATTTTGGGTTACTTAACCAGTGTTTTTTGGCTTTCAAAATAGCGTATTATTGATACCAGGTTTTATTTAATGACTGAAAAAAATCACTGTAATTGACTTCTCTGTTTTTGTAGGCCATTGAACAAATCAGTTCCTGTCTGTGTCTTCAGCATCTTGATTTGTCAGACAATAACATAGCTCAATTAGGTGATCTCTCCAAGCTTACCTCACTGAAGGTAAATGCTGTCTCATCTCTGGGTTTTGGTACATTACAAAGTGTAAAGAACTTTGCTTTGAAAATTGCTGCCTTTTAAAGCATTCATTACTCAAGCACTAGCTCTTAAAGCATTTTAATTAATCACTCTGGTTTCTGGAGGGAAGCCTGTAAGAATTCTTTTCCATGTTTTCAAGTTGCAGGCAGTGATTTTTCTAGAACTGATCTAATGATTTTGATAAGGATAAGACGGTGAGATCTTGTTTGTAGCTCTGGGTGCTCTTGTCTCTTGGCATGAATGAAGACAAAACATAGTGTTAACTGTTCCAGCGTGGACACTGCAGAGAAAAAGTTTCCAAATACACTATTTTGGTAACTGTGACCATGCTTCAGTTCTGCATTTTAAAATGAGGAGATTTTGCTCTAAAATATAAGAACTAGTTTTCCCTTGCTGGAATAAACAAAACCAGTTTTGAT